TATACATATACACACATTTTGAATTCTTATTCTCCAATGAAGGTTAGATTTTTGTGATTCTTTAAAATAAAAGATCAAAAGGATTAACAATGCAGATAGCCTTCTTTGATCATATTTACCAAGGGTACCAACAATTCTGACCATGTGTGTGTGTGTGTATGTATATATATATGTATGTATATATATATATGTATATATATGTATATGTATATATGTGTGTGTGTGTGTGTAAAACATCTAAATGATAAATGGACGTGACACTGGCAGATGTGGTAAATTGTTAGTTTTGGACCCTGCTAATCGTTACCGGTACAGTCATTACTCAGGGCTTCTGTCCTCAGGAAGCACATATTTCAGTCCGTGATCACCGAATGCATCATAACTCTCATATGTTTGGTTCTGGAGCCACTCAGGTTCACGTCTGCTGTACACAAACACCTCCTCGATGCTTCCAGGCTTTAGTGTGTTTTCTCCTTCACCGTCCTGCACCTCCAGCTGGATCTCGGTGCGCTGGTATCTCTCTGGACAGCCTTCAAACCGGTCCAGAAAGTCCAGCATCTTCTGGTCGATGCGGTAGATCTCTCCGTAGACGCGCTGACCCGTCCCGGGCTCGTTGAGCAGGAAGGGGATGTTGAATTTGGTGGTGATAACGAGCGGGTATGGCTCTATGGTTCGAGCGCGAGCGAGGAACTCGGCCTGACCGTTGGAAGTGTTCTCCATCCTGAAGTAGTTGGGCTGGGCTTTCTTCAGCGTGCCGTAGACAAAGACACGAGCCATGCGAACCACGGGACAGACCACACTGATGATGAGCTGTGGAGAAAGAGACACTCATTAATATTCGAAATCAATTAAACATCTACACACTAACAGAATGATAAATCAATCTACATTATTTAAATGACTTTAGTTAGATTTTTATTTATACTTTTTATAACTAATGATATGCCATGCATTATAGTAGTCAACATTTGAAGTGGATCAAAACCTTTCATCAAAGTTGTCCTAAAAGCTAAAACCAACATGCGTTCTTGTCTTTGATCAACTTTTTTGATCCACTTCAAATGTTGACTACGGTGTATAAACTGGTAAAAGTAAGCAAATGTTGTTTAATGTAATTTAAATATATATATATATATATATATATATAAAATCTAGCTTTTTTTAATACTGAGGGCCTTGAAAGAAATCATACAAATATTAGGCAACAAAGTGTATAAACATTTTTATGACTGAACAATCTTTTTGTCCATTAAATATGTATATGCTGACAATATTTAAAGACATTTTCAGTTTGCTCACATACCAAATAAAGCTGTAGGAAACTCAGCACTTCAAAGAAAAATAGAAAATAATATAAACATCTGTAATTAATTAATGACAATAGCCTAGATTTTACATGACGGATGGACTGAAATTAAATTAAAATAAAATACCCCTTACAGAATTTCATACATTTATATGCACCGATATAAAGTTGGTTCGACGTTTGACGTTGGATATTAGACAGATATTCAGCCGCGAAAAACTTCAATAAATTCTTAGTGGATGAGTATAACTGTATACAAAATGGCTTATCTGAAAAGCATTAAAACGTAGAACTGAACACAGACCGTCTGCAAAGAACATGTAAAGGATAAAACGATGAATGTTTTCCCACCGGAATGTTTTTTTTACAATTTTACAATTTTTTACAATTAACAAAACAAGAGCAAATAGTGCACCAAGCTCTTTGAAAGATATAAAGACAAACACTTATAACGCTCACTTGAATTTAAATAAGAAATATTGTAAACAAGATATGTGATAGTGGTTATTATTATATTATTACTATTAATAAATATATGAATAAAATAAAAATAATATTAAAAATCATTATCATTCCATAATTTAGTGGTTATGCAGTAGGCTTATTCCAGGTCCTTGTGAGAACATTTTAATGTTTGTTGTTTTCACAGAAGTTTGACACCAAAAAACACACTATTGAAATTTAAACTAATAAATAAATAAATTTAAAATGAATACACTCC